GTTTTTTTTTTTTTTTTGTTTTACTCAGTATGTAATTTCTCTGCAGTTATCTATCATAGTAGTAACTGCATGACTAATTAATCACTTGCAGCAAATAAATGCAACAAGATAATATCAGTCAGTAAATGGCATATATCAGAAATAATGAATCATTGTTAAGATTAACTGCTGAATGAGGAAAGAATTATGAGATGAAGGGTTCTTTCAATAATAATGACAAATAAAATATGATGAGAGAAGGAAGCATTGCTTTTTTTTTTTTTTCTTGTTTCTTTTACTAGGTTTAACGCATCTTAATTTTGAATTTAACTGTAACATTAAATTCATATTTCACGCAAATTTGAATCCATATGTAACTTTTGTTTTCCATATTGATCTATTAGGAAGAGATTTCGCAATATAGAATCGGCATTAGAGGTAATAGTACTTTTTATCATTTACTTCCAAGGAATATCATTTGTTTGTGCTTATATCACAGTGATAAAAAATGAAAATTTTGACTTTAGAATCGATTAATAGAGCTTTTTAAACGATTATCTGAAAGCAATTTGAAACAAAAACGCGATGGAAATTTTGATCAAGAATTGTTCAATAGAAGTGGTATTGGTGCAACGTGTAAGTTGATTAAAATATTTAGCAAACTGATAACAATGATTCAAATAAGGTCAAAGTTATCTTACCACCACGATGGAATTATATTATAGTTGTTCTGCGTATTTTTTATCAGGTTGTGAATGTGGATATGGATTACCCGGTCTAGCTGGGCTAAAAGGTCGCGATGGGAAAGATGGTATGGATGGACTACCAGGCAGGAATGGAGAACCGGGGATTGATGGAGATTTGATCGTTGTCAAGGAAACTGATTTCTGTTTTGAATGCCCACAAGGTTTGACATTTGAAAAACATCTTTAAATGCTTTTGAGCATATTGCTTTATTCTCGAATTTATTATTTATGTAATGTGCTTCTAGGAGTCGCTGGTCCTCCAGGACCTGCAGGTCCTAAAGGTCCACCTGGCTTACCTGGCACACCAGGCTTAAATGCTGATGGCGGTGAACGAGGTCCAGCAGGACCCCCTGGACCTCCTGGACCTCCAGTAAGTTCTAGAATATATTTTTTTTCTGTCGGAAAAATCTTCAAAAAAGACTATCAATTCTATACCAGCAACTTTTTTAGGGTCCACCAGGACAAGCTGGGCCAAAAGGACAACCAGGTGTTGATGGACATATTGTTAAGCAACCTGGACCACCGGGATTTCCCGGTATACCAGGCAAGAGCACAATCTTTATCAGTCAAGTTTAAAATGACGAGTATATGCCATGTTTTCATTTTAGTTTTCTTTTTGAAATAATCTTTGAAACTGTTTTGAACGGAATTTTAAAGTTGCTTAAAGAATAACTTATTTTGATCGTAATCAAACTGTGAAGAATGAAATCCTGTGGCATGATATGATACTTTCAGGACCACGAGGTCCAATGGGTTCTCCAGGAGTTCAAGGTCCACCCGGAATACCAGGACCATCAGGTTAGACTAATTTCCGCATCTGTTGAACTGCTGAATACTTTAAACCATGATTATATAATGTAATAATTAGAATCAATGAAAATGGGTTTTTCATTCGTTTAAATTACAGGTGATCAAGGTCCACCAGGAGATCCTGGTATTCCAGGATCCGATGGTCGTCCTGGACTTCCTGGAAAAAAAGGTATCACCGGAAAGCGTGGATCGAGTGCATCATGCGATCATTGTCCAAATCCAAGGACAGCTCCAGGATATTAATAAAGTAAAATAAAAACCCAATCTATTTGCAATCAACTTCTATTAAAATTAAAATTTACTTTTGATACATCGAATGAAATATTTCCGACAAAGAATACTTTAATGGAAATTTGCTTGATGTAATGCTGAAATCGTTAAACAATTTAGTTTATTGAATGAGTAAATAATACAGCATGCTTATTACGGCTACAATAATTGGTGAATATTCATTTACACATAATTCACATTTTAAATTCTTAAATAGATTATCTACAAGGATAAATAACATGAATTTTGGAATTTTTCAACAAGTTGTTTTTGTTCACCAGTATTATCTCGTAAAATGAAATATAATTTATTGGTATCAACTAGCAATAACTCCTCCTCGTGAACCAGTTTTCATTTTAGTTCTATGAAAAAAAAAATGTGAAACTGAAACTAAAAGCATTTCCGAAAACAATTTTTTTTCCAGTAACAAAGCGGTTTTAATAATTGCGCTCGATTTAAAACTGTTACTAAAAATATATTTTATTGCTAATGAAAGAGTAAGTTAAGGAATAGTCGAAATGAGCAAATGAGATAATAAGCTGCATGATACTGATAACAATGATTGGATAATAAAATCAGGAAGCGTTAAACCATGAAGAAATAAACGATACTTTCTTGAAAGATTAGTATCACAAATGAAATGATTTTTTTTTTTTTTTTGGCATTTGTATGTTGGTTTAAGACGAAAATTTTCAAATGAACCGGTTTCCAAAAATGCTTACAGTTCCTTAATTCCCGAATAAAATATAACCAAAAAACTGGTTCACATCAAGTAATCGTTTTTGGTCAGTAATCTACGGTGCAAAAAAAGAAAAAAATCTAATGACACTAATATTTGTCGATGAAAAAGATTTAGGAAAACAGAATTATCATAGAAATGATAAAGTCGTGTACAACGTATAATTTTGCCAAATTTATGAGAAATTCTTTTTTTCTTTAATTGAAATTATTGTTATTTTACAAAGGATATATTTTTGAATTCCTCAAAGTTACCATATAGGAAAAAAGTGAAGGAAAAAAGCAATAAGTATCAATTGTTGATGAAATGATGAAGCAGATCGTGTAAGCTTCGATAATTTAACTCTTGAAGTTGTTTTTACAGCCACAGTAACAGTATCACCAATTCCAGCTTCATTTTCCGCTGCAAATCTGAATATATATGTTGTTCCTTGACGTAATCCACCAACTTCGTATAGTCCATCTTCATCTATAAATGATGATAAATTTAATAAATAAAATATGGCATTATGTATAGAACATGGTATGTAGTATGATCGTTTACTTGATTCAATTTATAACTTTCTTTGCTTAGTTTTATATAAAAAAGTTTATAAAACATCTTTGTATTTTTGTTTCAAAAAAAAAATCGATCAAACTTACTTAAATGTACATCCATTTTGACAGCATGCGCGAACCAAACACGATTATTTTCTCTGATTTCATCATGACCCTAAAATTAATCATTAATTTAAGGTATGAAAATTTTTTGTCAATTTTTTTTTTTTGGAATAAAGAAGTAAAAACTTATAAAATGCCTTGAATATTCTGGCATTACACGATGAAAAGGGAAGAGCAAGAATTGAAAATTCATTAAATTTTTTTTTTGATAAAAGAAGAAATCACATACTTGATCTAGAATAGATTTTTTAATATATTCTATAATATAACGTCGTATTGGCAACTGTTCACCAAATCCTTCTTCAATTTTCCATAGCACATAAGTCATTCCAACATCTTGCAATGAAACGTGAACTTCACCAGGTGGAGCTATAATTTGACGAGAAATTTCAATAAAACTTTTTCCAAGCAAAATACATTAAGTCATATAAATGTTGCATACTTGCTTCTTTAACCGTAATTGTTTGTTGTGACTTGGATTTTCCGTTGCTCACTTCGCATCGGTATTCACCCAAATCATATTCTGTTGGTGATAAAATCTACAGTATGATGCAAATTAACAAGGATAATCATCATGTTAAAATAATCCGTATGATAATAAAGATGCAAGCAAATCGATATGTCGAGAAATAGACAATGATCCTAAGTTATTTAGGAATTAAACCTATAGGAAAAAGTGCACAATTGGAATAATTAAAAATTAATCAAATGAAATTACCTTAAGACAACTGCTTTGATTTAAAACATCAATCAAAATAATATGATTACTATCGTTCCAGAGTTCATCACTACCTTTTAAATACCGAAAATGTGTAGCGGGTGGATTTGAACGCGTTATGTTACAACAGATCTGAGCTAAATGATCCAGAACAATAAAACGTTCAACAAACGGTTTGCTGAATTCCGGAGACGCTGAAATTGTTCATTCTGATTAAGATGTTCCTATGAGTATGATGACTTCAAAGCTAAAATACTACCATTCACGTAATCGTCATCATTTTTTTCTTTTTTGTCTTCTACTTTTACGTTTATAAAAAATGACGATAATTATAGAAGGAAATTTCTTTCCTTTTGATTTTAAAAAATAAATTGAAAAAAATGTCGAACACGAACACCAAACGTCCAAACGAATTTCGTGCTGTTCAACAACCGTTGCATCATACTTCTCGAATTCTTGAACCGATAAGCAGTTGATGATAGTATCTTGGTATACATTTGTAAGCTTATTGACAGTTACTTCTGATCCAGCAATAACGAACAAAGTCTCTACAAATATAAATATTGAAAAGGTTAGAATTAAATTCAATATTTGATGTAAACTTGTTCTGATTTTATTTTAAATCAAATCAGTTGGTGTTAATGATTTCAACTTATCAAGTAATATATGAAAAATAATAATTAATTAAAAGTGCATGATGCAAGAATAGTAGTCAATAGATCAGATCTATTAGATTTTTCTATTTCATTTAATCGTATAAAATTTTTAATCTTCTCTCAACTCTTTCGCTAACAAACATTGATGCTTAAGACAATTAATCCATAGAAACAAATTCAAATGATTTATATCCTACTTAGTGAACAATTTCAATTTAGTTTAATATCAGGATTCATTTCATGCTGTTAAAAATATGATATGATGAAGCTACGATAAACCATTAAGTGGAAATCCTTTATGATTCGTAATATATGTTTCAGGTTGTGGATTTCCGATGGATCCGCAATCGATGGTTAACGATTCGCCGAACATCCCTCCAACAACATCATTGCTTTCTTTCCAACGAATTGCATCTGAAAGCATTTCACCGTTGGAAAATTTTCAACAGCAATTAATTCGATCATCTTTTTCACTACATATTGCATATCAAATTGGAAATTTAATACCGACGACGATGATTTCCACTTTCCAGTAGGCCGACATCCTTCTGGAATTCCTGGCAACACATTTATAGAATCCGGTATCACGTTTTGCAATTTGGGTGAATACTAACGATAATTTTTTGTACATTGAATCATGCTCTCGTAACTCAACGGTAAACAAGCTAAAAGTACATGTGTAAGAAATTATGAATTGTATGATTCAAATTAGACACACGATGAAGTGAATGATTGATTATATAATATGTAAATTACAACTTTTGTGGTAATTACTTCAAAGTAATATTTTGGCGTCAAGCGTGATAAAACGTTTCACCTTAAACTTGTTAGATAGCAAAAAGACATAAGTCGAAATAAAACAATGAAATTTTATCTAATATCATTCCACTGAATTATGCTAAGTGATGAAATGATGTATTGAAGTGTGGAAGTAATTTAACACCTTATCAAGTTATATCGTAATTTATTAGAGAGTAAAATAAAACCAGCTTATGAATATCCATTAAGATCAAAACAATATTATTACCTATTAGAAGATTCACCGTCTATTTTACGACCAAATTCATTCCGCCATGCAAGATGCAAGCAGTTTATAGACGCCTGTTGGCAGATGCAAGAAATCCGAAATTTACGATCAACTCGAACCACATATCGACTATTGTTAAGAGGTGGTGGCTCAAGACGTAATAAATTTGAGCACTTAGCTCCTGTTACCACACCTTAATTAATTATGGAAAAATTAGAAGTGAAAATCTAAATCGCTGTTTACAATAAATAAAAAAAAAAATTTCCTTCACGTTTGAATTCATTGATTTATTTGAAGAGCCAGCCCTTAATTATTAAAATGATGATAATAGTGCTGCTATTCTAAAGGTCTGCCAACTTTTAAGTAAATAAGTTCATCAATTAATTGGTCAGTATGATTTGTTATGGTAAAAGAAAGTGCATTCAAACTATGTAACACTGAAATACTTGATTCTAATTTATTTTTGTTATATCTTTTTCAGTTCAAGTTTTCTTTCCTTTAGCATCGTTTTTTTTTTTTGCCCACAAAAACTTTGCATGTGTTGTTTTAGAAGTATTAGTAGTTGAGAAAGATAAAATTAATTATTTTATAATTAAAAGATGGTGACATGTTTTTTTTTCTTTTTGTTTTATGAAACTGAACTTTGCCTTTGTCATTCATTTATTTCGACTTTCATTCTTTTATTTTTCTTTTAAAAATAAAAAAAAATGTAGCATGAGAGCTGTACATTACATAGCTCAAATATCTCATCTTTTTGGCCTCTAAATAAGGGAATTCAACTTTCACTAGGCTTTAGGCTTCACGCAAAGAGATAACAGAAAGGTTTGCCCTTATTTTCGCCATTCCTCACAGCTTTTTTTTTCTTTTTTTTTCTCATCATATTTTTTCTCTTTGTGAGAGAAAAAATTATTCCTTTAAATATTACTTATTTTAGATATTTAGCTAATTATGAGAGAGTAAATGTTTGAAAGGAAAGATAAATGCATCCATTTATTCGAATAATTCTAAAGGGAATATGTGGTTGTTATGGAAAAATAGACTGAAACATATGCTGGATATTTAGTATGATCTAAATTAAATTTCGCCTTTTTTCCTTTTCATTTTTCTTTTTTTCTTTGCAAACATTCGGTATTATATCTAATAAATCGTTTGATTAAACTGCAGTTAAGTTTTCACTGCTCGCTTAGCTTATTAAGTATAATATTTCATATATATATATATATATATATATATATGTATGATGATGATAATTTACTGTAAAATAAAAAGAAAGAAAAAAGCTAAAATAAATGAATGTCTTGCTTGGAAGATGTAAAGTAAATTATCCGGGAAAAAAGATAACATTGTATCATTGTGAAAGGGATGTAAATAAGGATAAATGAAATTTTACAAAGGAAATGTAACGAGATGTTAAGATATTTTGTAATTAGAAAAAAAAGTGTTTAAAAAAAGGTAATGAAATGAAATAAAATGAAAAAGGAGATAATTTAAGAGATAGAAGTTGAAGTGGAATGGTTATAAACAAGAGAAGTTGACATTTATCATTTATTCATACTTTTCTCATCCATTTATTATTGTTGCTTTTGAAAGTTTATCCATATTTGATATTTGACTTTTTTTTTAAAAAAATTTTTAGTTGCTTTAAAAGTTTGCTAAAATTTGCAGCAGAAAAAAATTTTTACGGATTATAAATTTTTATTTGAAAAAAAAGTAGACTGGAGAGAGAGAGAGAAGAGAAGAGAAGAAGAGAGAGGAAATAAGCAAAAAAAAAAAAGGTGACATACCGGCAAGAAGAGTAAAAGCAATCAGTGTGATAATGATAATAATAATATCAATGAAGGCGCTAAAGCTAACTGTGATTGACAAAGGCGAATTGAATGACATCGATGATTGAAAGTAGTTTGAATCATAGCATATTGACTAAAAATGAAAATGACACAGAAAGAGTGAAAAGGCTTAAGATTGGTATGCTTGCCACGCCCATCTTTTTCCCTAGTTAGTCTTAAAATTCGATTGAATTCAACCATTCATAGATGTATGGATCAGTTTGGCCTCTTTTGACGATGAGCCTCACTATTTTGAGTAGCTTTAAACAAGCTCAATGCAATTCTCATCACCCATTTCCTTCCGTTATTGTTATTGTTTTGTTGTTTGCTTCAATCGCTCCAAATCAATGCTATCCGAAGTGACGCAGAAATTCAATCAAAATGAAAAAAAAAAATGAAAAAATATTTTGAAAAAAAACTATCAAAGATGATTGTAAAAGTGAAATTTATCACAAATCGAATGACAATATACATATACAATACAAATGATTATCATAACAAATACTAATTTTTGCCTAATCAATAGGATATTGCATAGGTCAAACGTTAGCATTTTCTTAATCTATCCATTCGATTTTTGATTCATCAATTTTACTTGAATTGTTGAATCATACAGTTGACGATGAGATTTTAGGCGACACTGATTTTGATCCCAAATGTGCACATCGATGTTTATCAGTGCAACTTTTTCACTATCAATGTTACTGTCCTCTTTGCTTTTACCTTTAATAACAGCAATGATAGACGTAAGTAACTACGTCATAATCCAATTAAAAATTTCATTTTTCACATAAAATTTTTGATTAAATTTTTTAATGTAATAGGAAATTAAATATATCTCGAGAGTAATCTCCAATTATGAAAAGATGACATTTCGATGAAAGTTGCTCATAACTGTAAATAAATTTACTAAAGGTAAAGGAATGGTAAGAGGAAGAAGGAAAAGAGAAAGGGGTGGTTAAATGAGGAACAGAAAGATAACCAAAAGGGATGCGAATACTCGGTGTATTGGGAACTGAACTTCTTAAACCGTTTGCATTGTAAAACATTCCATACATTCCCGAAATAGCTCGGTCGGCATTGGCATTTGGGGAAGGGGTTATTCAGTTACATCATCCCGTCCCATTTTTTAAGAGGTCTAATAATTGATATCGCGATATCATCATCACTGTTTATGGAAATAACGCAGCAACCGGAATAACACCACAATGGGAAGTCATAAATTGCTGATACTTTTTCTGGATACCGCATTAGTTATGGAATGTATCTCATTTTTGCATAATGCTCGGATGTTTACCACTTCGACAACCTCGAAACCAGGCTGTTTGATTTACAACGATGAGCAGTTACATATTATTATGGATCGAGTATGCGAAATTTGTCATGAAATGTATTCACATCAATATCCGAATACGAGGGCCGATTGCAGGTTTGAAATGAAAATTTTCCCTTTTTTACATTTCCAAATTAAAGATTAGTTAAGTAAACCTTTTAGAGTGTTGCTAAAAGAAGATATTAGAAATGATCAATTTCAATTAAAGTAATATACAATAATGTCAAAATTTGAAAAAATATTTTCAGGTCAGACTGTTTCCGCAGCAAACATTTTCACTCATGTTTGGAGCATTTTCGTCCTATAATTCCATACGGCTAAACTTTGCTCGATAGCTGAGGAAATGTGTTTTATTTATTATAATCTCACGACAAAAGCGCTGTCAGCACTATTGCTGTAATTGCTTTCCCGATCTACTAATCTTTTTCATGTCGTCAAAAGCATTGAAGAGCTTTCAATTCAATTGATAGGCTTATTTTTAGATATGATATATCTAATTTAATAATATGTAAGAATGCTTAAACTGCTTATTTATAATATCTTTCTCAAATGCCAAATTAAACTTCAATTTCTCATTTAAAAAAAAAATGAGTCCAATGTAAAGAACCAACCATCAACTTAGTTTTCAAATTTTTTCTCCATAAATAATTCAAATGGTTAGAACTATGTCGTAGGCACTTATTATATGTTGCTAACATGTTTTACAGTAATTATAGGTAATAACAATAGCAACAAGAGAAATAAAATAATACTATCAAGTGGAGAAGTATGAAGTACAGAAATACGAAGTAGTTCCATGCCTGAGACATTTCAGATCATTCTCATAAACTTTTCACCAGCACGTCATATTTAACATTTCCAACCAAAGTTTCCGTAATGGTATTAGGTCCAGCAAATTTTTCTTCCTGACAGCTTTTTGCGATTTTTGAAATACGTTGATTCCTTTGCTCAACAAAAGATTCCTGCAATGAAGCAATTAGTAAGTATCAAAGGTCAATTCAGTTACAACCTTTTGAATGTTGAATGTTGTTCATGTTCCATATCGCTACCTCCTCCGATATGCTTCATTGTGACAAGTAATAAATTTAAGTGTTATTGCCTCTTAAAATGAAACTATTTGTTTCAATGAAACATTGCTTTCATACAGTAATAAGTGATAGTTTTCCCTTCCAAATTTAATATTACATTCATTTTAACTTAGAAGCATTGATAATGATATTGGCCTTTCCTTTTCTTAATTTTAATTCTTTTTTAAATTTAAATTTAAATGGAAAAATGACGCAAATATACAAGTTAAATTTTTAATCAGATTTTTTCAACAATTCAGTTGCGATATTTGAAATTTTGCGTCCCATCTTCAAGTCTATTTTCAAAACTTACCTTTATAACTTTACCTATCAAAATGATATTGTACTAAAAATTACGCCGTGATTTTTTTTTCTTCAATTTGTTTCATTTAGAAAAAACCTAGTGATGGAATTATAAAACTATTAATTATTTCAATAAATATCAAAAAAAAGGTTTTAAAACTTTGTATCATTTAAATTTGAATGCTTTTTTTATAATTCCATGGAAATAAATCTAATTTCAATGAAAGATATTTCTTATCATCTTCCAAATATTATTATGGTAATCGAAATAATCAACATTGTAACCAAAAATTGCCTGTGCAGTGTGATTCGAAAGTTTGTTCCACATCTGATTTGTTAATTCATTAAGTCCAAGCGCTTTCATCCGTTTGTAATTACGATTGACAATGCAAGGACACAAAAGGGCTACACAAATCCGCCGAAATTTATGGCCAAATATTGAATAAATAAAAATATTTGAAGCACTAAAATCAAAGAAAATTTTGGAAATATCTTTTTTTTTTTTGAAAAAGAAATCAATTGAGTAAAAGGATTTACCTAAACGATAACATTCCAACTAATGAGAGACGGAAGACTTAGCAAGCATTGGTTGTATCTGTATATGTCAATTAAAATATGAGACTAAATTAAGTATATTCCCAAAAGGTAAATTGCAGTAATGAAGAGGAAGAAAGTAACAAACCTGTTAACACATACTAATAAATTTCCGATCGGTAAACGTAAGCGAAAAAATTGGGAATATTCAGCAAAGAATGCTTCAATAATGTGATTAATACCAGCCATTAAATTACAAGCAATAAATGTTAAAATCATTACAAAAGCCATGATTGTACAGCGTCGTTCTCTCTCATCCGGATTCGAGGTACGACTGATCATAGCACGACGGATACGGTATGCTTGTTGTACTGATTGGATAACAATAACATTTAAGACAATCATTGTTGTCCAAGGAATGATAATCAGTAGTAACAAATAACCGTAAGTATTATATAGAACAATATAAAGGCCGTTGGTACGTAATGGCGTTGGAGTCAAACGGCCACATTCGTCTAGAGTTAATTCGAAGAGTGATGGTAATTTGTAAACAAATGATACTGTTGCTATTACTGATAAGACCAATTTAGCACGTGATGTTGAACACCACATTCGGGTTTGTAGTGGATATTTTACAGCTAAGTACCTACAAAATATTTATCTTTCGAATTGGATAATTTATTTGTACTTGCCAAGAAACTGATAACAAGCATTTCCTCCAATTTTTGTGCATATCATATAGACAAAACTATCAATTTCGAAATTTTCAATCATAAGATGAAAAAAAAATTTTTTTTTCTTATCACTAGCAATGGTTTTTGTAGAAAAAGCCTATAATTTAAAGATTTTCTATTTAATACATATTCAATTATACAGAATTTTTATTTCATTAATGCAAATAAAAAATTAAAAATAATCATTGAATATTTTTATGAAAATTTTACCGATCAACAGTGATAGCCACACAGGTCCATACTGAAGAGGTCTGTGCTGCAAGTGATATTGGATAACTGACAAGTGTTGTCTTCCAAAAGAATTCACATACTGCACCTTGTTCCTGAAATTTCGAAATTTTCTTTACAAAAAAATAAACTTTTTTTAGAAAAAAAATGGATTAAATTTGTTCAAACTTAAAATGTTTCAAAGTAAAAATTATATAAATATAATATACCTATCAGTAATATACCAATAAAATAAGATTTTATCTTACTTTATATTTCATTTCACATTTCAATAATGGCAATAATTTGCGTAATGCATTAATCAAAGTATTGGAAAGAGTCATATGTGCCGTTAACCTAACAACATAGTTATTGTTAATCTTAGCTAAGGATAATGATGTATTTTTACGCATATCATCTAAGGATATATATGCCAGCATATGAAATATTAATAGCCAAGTATTGTTAGAATAAGAGTAACAAGTGATAATGATAAGATGATAGAATTTGCTGTTTAAATGAGACAGAGAATTAATTCTGAAAGAAATAATCGTAAATTCAAAAGTTTCAGTTACAAATTTCATACAATGCAAAATTTGAATAAAAAAGCATAACTGCTCATGTTTCTTTTTTCAGATACTTATTAGAAATTTTATAATAATTAATAAATTTTTTCTGGTTATGTTAACAAGAAAATTTTGAGAATTTCGAATAGAACATATGAAAAATCAATCAGTCATAATTATTTTCTATCAAAATTTAATTAATCTACGATCATGCAACATATTTTCAACATTATAGACAATGTTTCATTTTAAAAAATCTACAAATAATTTCGATTTTAATCAATGCTTGAAAAGCGTATGATAAAGTTTCCATTTTAATAGATAATTAATATCTAAAATTTATTCATGCTGGGATTGTCAACCTGCATTAACCATTTCTTTATAATTTCATTTAGAAGAATATTTTCTCCGAGATAGCAATCTGCTGCAATCATTATTAATCGGTACTTTTTCAGTTACTTCCTCATTGACAGATATGAATTTATTGCAATTTAATAATTTCAATTTTGACAGTCACAGTTTGACATTATCGAAAAATGTATTTATTGTTCCGCTTTTTTTTTCCCCCCCTTGAAGATGATGCGGTATAAGAATAAAGAAAATTTTATTTTCTATTAAAAAAAATGTTAAAATGCTAATTATCAGCTCTATCTAACGATCGATTTATCAGTTGATCAGTTGTAATACTTTTGACGGGTAAATAAACTTTGTCATTTTGGCAATCACTCCTAAACTTTCTATTATCTTTTCTATTAGGAAATGTAAGAATGTTTGTGGCGTAGTTACCAAAGTTATTATGAAAAATTGATTTCCGTATTATCCAGGCAGTGTGATTAATGTTCTGGCTAATTTCCTTTTTTCGGTGAATTTTTCATAATAGCATTATCGATCAGGACAGAAAGCAATGAAGCCAGGAATAATAAAGTAATAATAAATTACTAAATTATCTAATGGGCAGAAGCATTCCTGTTGGTACATTACTATACTCATTTTATCAAAAATGATGAAATTTTTTTTTTATTTTTTACCTTTTTTTTCACTCAAAATTTTGAAAATTTTTTTTTTAAATTTTTAACAATACATTTTTTCTAATTTTATGGCAGGAAGTTATGCTTGATGAAATATAAAAGCTTGGGCATTAAGCAAAAAGAGAAAATGCAACACATTGTATTTGAACGATTTAAGCAAATAATTGGCTAGCATAGGCTAAAAATCGCTATGATAGATTGAGCAATTTTTCGTTTGATTTGATTAAGGAAGCAATAATCCCAATTTTATCAGAGCTATATCGATGATTAAATTATTGATTTTTATTGAAAAACCATTTTGAATATTTAAAATATCTCTCAAAACGTATTTATCTTACTGAAAAGTCATTCTTTTTACAAATCATTTATTGATAATTTTTCCTCTTTTTCACATTATTACATTCTTTCTTGCTTATATAAGCAAACTGTTCATTAGAGTTGATGATTTAATCATCCACATTTATGACATTTTACCAGATCTAAGCAGAATCGAATGCTACGACCTTATCAGTCCTGAAATAATCTTGAAAATCATTCAAGCGACATAAATGAACACATAAATATCGTTTTTCCTTTTTTTTTTAATCTGTTTTTTCCTCCTGCATCGCAGAACAATAATCAGCATAGTGAATATGTTTTTGTTAGTGTTGTGCTAAACCGGAATGGATTCCAGAATTTTCATCATATATCAGAAATGTTGCAATTATTGCTGTAGCAACACTGATTTTTACATGTTATAAAATTAAACTATAAATTATATAGGCTAGAAAAATTTATTATGCATTCATAAATATACAAACCATAAAAAGATATTCATCAATTAATTAATTAAATAGTCAATTAATTAATTGATTAATTAATTTATTGATTAACTAATTAACCAATCAGTCCATAATTTGAATGGATTATGATGATTAATTGCGAAAATTCGATGATTAATTGTGAAAATTTCCATCTACTCAAAGATAGATTGTTGAAGTATTGCGTAATGTACGAAAAAACTCATTAAGGATTATTGAAAAGGAATAGCAGTAAATAGATAGCGTTGTTAGAACATGTCTGGGATATTGAGTGTACTTTTATGAGAAATAATTATCAACAGAGAAGAATGATGAAAATTTTCTAAAAATTGATGCCACATTTTAGTCTTTTTTTTTCTTTAAATTCTAAATGAAAATTTAAAATAGTTTGCTATTTTCAAATATTTCCATAATTAGTGATAATCTTTATTGCATTTCAACAATATCTTCTTCCAGTAACATTAATGTTTTTGTTGCGGTAATTTAAAACTCTGATAATATTAATTAATCAAAGCTATGAATCAATCAACTTGTGTCATATAATCATGGAATCTATCCTGTTAGAGTTTATCTTAAATAGGATTGAGTAAATTAATTTTCCATGGGTCTACATGAGAAATGGGAGTAGTTTTTGAGAACTGGACTAATATATACTTAATTCAGTTCTACCCAATACCGTATCCGTATACATATATATGCTATCTTTCCGCTAAAAAAAAAAAACAGTAAATGAAACATTGTAATGGATTTATTGAAAATGTGGAAGCTAATTATAACATTATTTAATGCGGTTCCGCGAGCAGGAAAAACTTGCTAGTGGACTACCAGATGCTCAGGTTAGATCTTAATTGCCCCGTTCATGATAACTTCGCCATGTTTATAGGCTTAAAATGAGCAATAATTAGGTGATAATATCAAAGTGATTCATAGTGATGATGAAGACAGATATTTTGAATTGCAGAGTAGTCGGATAACTGTGTAAAATCTGTTTTCAATACTAATTTCAAGAGGGAATTTCTTTTTTCATTATACCCAAAGCTTTCAATTTTGAATCACCAATAATTATTTACAGGCTTTGCTGGCAAATCTAGTTAAATCTATTTGTTGTTTGCATTATGCCTTAAAACAACATTTCAGTGCATGATAAAAGATAATACTGCTAGTAACAAGTAACAATATTTAATCTGTATGATTGTACCCGTTATTTGAAAAGCATGTTTTCATATGTCAAATGTAAAAAATACTGTTGCAGGACAGTTTACCAACAAAAAAAAAAAAAAAAAATAAGACAATAAATGTTTTGCGGAACAATAAGCACATATTTGATCCATTTTTAAATCATCCAAGTTATGTTATATAGTAAAGAAGTAAAGTAAATCAATTTGCATGCTTTTAAGCATTATTTGTGTTGTTTGTTGATAGTACGAAGTTTTCAGAGTAAATTTTATTGCTTTTCGAAGATTTTTTTTTTCTAATTAGACATTTAATGCATAGTAGGAAAACTAATTTAAAAAAAAAAAAGGAAAAGAAAGGAGACTTACGTTATTTTGCAAGCAAATTTGCATAGGAGGATAAATAAGAAGTGATCCAAGTAAAAGAATTAAATCGAAAAAAGATAAGCCAGCCAAATAAATGTTTAATGAAGAGCGCATTTGTGGACGAGTAAATATGATAACACATACGGAGGCAGCAAATACACCAGCCGTACAAACAAGTGGTAGTATGGTGGTATAAATGAGATGTTGAGCGAATTCAACAAGATTATCACTTCTTTGGGGATCACGGGATTGTGATATATAGCATCCTGAATGATGGTTATGGTCCATCGATGAGGACAATAATGATAATGATGACACTAATGATAACAGAGTTTCCTTCAGATAGGAAGTTGCTCTTTGGGTCCATTTGATTACGAACTAAGCAATGACCATTTGTCCTTGACGAATGCTTGTTAGAGTCCTTTCCTGACTAAGTGAGTCCTATTATTTCCAGTCATCCTATTTCATCCTGTCTATTCATTTTGTTGCACCACACCCCTTTCACCCCTTTCATTGCCCCACCCAAACTTCAACGTCTCTCACCAGCACTTACTCACCATATGCCGTTTCGTCAACCGAAACTAAAAAAAAAGTTTGTCTGAGATGTTTGCATTATTGCTCCAGTAAGGTCAACACTTTTAGATGATACGCCTGTTATCATCCAAATTGAAATTGATACATTACTAATGACAGCATGATAATTATCCTTTTATCATTTGGAACCTCAGGATAGTCAGAATGCCAGATATCGTTGATAACACGAAATGAATTCAATTACAGTTAAATGAAGATAGCAAAGATGAGAAAGTGAACAAATTTAGAAGGAACAATGAAGTAAAAGATAAATGAAGCGTAACAGAGGATAATTAAAAAACGAGGATGGAAAGAAATTAAAAATTAAGGATGAGTGAAGCCAAAGAGGATGAGATGACAGGGAAAGAAACTTAGATAAGGAAGAATTTTTGAAGCAAAGTATTTGCTTGATATTTACCAGAGAAGCGAATGCATTTTTGAAATAGCACTTAGACGGTGGAAACGGAAAATGACGTAGCTAAAGTTGTATAATTAAAAGTTCCACATTGGTGTATCCCGTGGTTAACAGAAGTGGATTTTTTTTTCATAGGATTATTCCCGAAAATTTGTGGCTTTAATTTTTCAGTGAATTGTAATTTCTTTTTAAATCCATAATTTGGATTCTCAGCATATCAGTTTTATCAGTTTGTTATCAGTAAATATAACTTTCATCGAAACCGTCTCTCATTTCATTGTTAGCTTTAATTGATGAAACTTTGCGCATACTGCATTTGTGAATTATCCCTAAACATTATCATTAATTCATTTACTCGATTTATATTCACTTATTTAAACATTAATAAATGGAATTAATAAATGAAATGTTTTCGGAAGTTATAAAGACGATTATAACTAACTTAAAAAAGACGGTAGTAGTAGCAGTAGTAGTAGTAGTAGTAGTAGTAGTAGTAGTAGTAGTAGTAGTAGTAGTAGTAGTAGTAGTAGTAGTA